TTCAAGCCCTCATAGTTTCATGCCTAGACCTCAAGCCTTGTTCTCTGAATTATTGACCTCACGCCTGCCTTCTGGATTTCCCGTTTTTTGCCTGCTCCTCATCTGGTTCTGTTCTGCCTCTCTGACCACGGTAACGACCTCCTCTTCAGTCTAAGACCTCGACTCACGAATCACCCTTTTGGATTGCCCTTTGGACCACAAACTTTCATTGCCCCACTGTCCATAGCATTAAAGGCCTCCCTCTGCAGCTACCAGCAGCCTTATTAATAAAAACTGTTAATTTTTGTACTCCTGTGTCTGGCTTATCTTGAATCCAAAACCTTGGTTCGTGACCGCTCCTGGTTTTCCTGGTTACCTACAACTCTCCAGCAGCGTGCAGTGTTTCTCCTCTGCGTCTCCTGCCTCAGCAGAGGATGCTCACAGGGGAGGAGTTGAAGACATCTCTGTGTTGCTCGCTCGCCAGCTTAGCGAGTGCACGCAGTTGTTGACCAGGAGGATTAGGATCAGTGTTGCCAGATTGGGAGGTTTACCACCAATTGGGCGGTTTTCATTCTGATTTTGCAGCTAAACATTGCTTTGGGCAGGTGGGGATAATTTGGGCGGATATGAAGTCAGATCGGCGGTTTCTGAGTTAACCTGTTAAACACATTTCAACCAATCCTTTATCATTACTGGTTCATAGCAAAGCTCTCCTGACCTTTCTCCATCACTGATTGGCTATTGTCATCTGTCAGGGTGTTAATAGAGAATTGGTTAGGCGGCGCAATAAATTATTCTACTTTTAGTAGACACCTCACTGAGTGAGCTGGCCCGTTACAGCAGTATGTTTGAGTGTCCGCCATACTGGATGTGGCAGAACAACCAGTCAACTAATACAAGGAAATGGACTGAACATCATAAAGCACCATTCTACAAAGATTTTTATGTTAATGCCCATCATTCACACACACATATATTTAGGAAACAAATAGGCACTAAAGATATCTGTAACTTTTAACGTGATTAACAAAATTGTTTACTCCTTAAATGTTTAGGTTATAGGTAAGCACTAGTGTTTACAATTACTAATGTGTGTAACACTGTTACTGTGTAATATATAGCCAAGCCAATATATATCTATATATATCTGTCATAGCTCTGCTCTCTGTCAGCTCCTCTGTCATGCTGCACACTCAGTAATCACTCAACTCATGTCACCTGTCACCGCTCATTATCCCACAGCTCCACCACCTGGTCCAGTCAGTACTTAAGCTCACTCATTCCTCTCAGTCTGGGCCAGATTCTCTATCCTGTCTCATCAGCAGTAGACTTTCCAGCATTCCATTGATTGACTCATCACGTTCATGACCCTTGCCTTGACCACGACCACGCTTTTGCCTCAGCCCTCGTCTGCTTTTGCTCATCTGATCAGGTACCGACTCATGCTCTTGTTTTTTGACTCTCTTTTTGGATCACGTACTGGATACTTCTGCTGATCAACTGACTTCACGGTATGAACTCTGCCTTTCCCTTCTGACTGTTTTTTGGATCACGGATTAAAGGTCAAGCTCATTCTGTAACACGGACTTATCCTTACCCCTAAATCTGATTCCCACAGATTCATTTCCCCAATTAGTCGCTTTCCCCCGGCATCTACTAACCTTTATCTTTTAGTTGCAAGCCTGTTGGACTCCGTTCCAGTGGACCTTAACATCAGTTCTACTTCTACTGGCAGCCCGCCACTACAACACTACCCAATCACGAACTACCAATCAGAAGATCGGAACCAGCCCAGAACCGGACCTACTCCAGAGTTTTACTTTATTTCACAATAAATCTTTTAACCCTCTCAGTGGTTGTTGTTGTTGTTTGCGATCCGGCCTCTGGTTCATGACAATATCTATATCTATCTATATCTATCCATATCTATCTATATCTATCTATATCTATCCATATCTATCTATATCTATCTATATCTATCTATATCTATCTGTCTGTCTGTCTATCTGTCTGTCTGTCTGTCTGTCTGTCTGTCTGTCT